TATTCCAAAATCTTTGTATTCCCTCTTCCTTGCATCCTTTCCCTTTCATCATGTGCCTTTTTCAAAACTGTCCTGTTACTCTCCACCCCCCCTTCTCATTCCCGCTCAATCACCTTCTCTTCTGTGGAGTCATATATTCATATTTAGTGAAAAAAGGAGTTCCTTCTAATATAAGCTCTCTCAATTTCTCCCCCTGCTGTTTGAAAAGCTTTCTGTGTTTCATTGTTTCTTCCATTTCTCTTAGAGGAAAATGTGCCACTTCTCAAGCCTGCTCTCTGCCCCTTGGCCCACAATCCCCACTTTCTGTCACCTTCCTTATGGAATCGTCCCTCTCTTCAGATCTTTGGTTTGTGCCATCTGCTGCTGGCTATTCTCAGCCTTGGTAAAAATGTTCATCCCTTATTTCTTAAAAATGTCATTTGCCCTAGCGAGGCTTTTAAGCTTTTTGTCCATCTGCTGCACCTTCTTTGTTGATATTCTCTTTTCAGAGGCCTTCATTAACCATGCCTTGTCTTCAGTCCCCAATCACCTCTCAGCTCCTTATAGTCTAGTAGAGGTTCTGCTCAGACCTCTTAATCACCAAATCCAAGGAACAACTTCAGGACCAATTCAGAAAATGATAACTTAAAATACTTAAAGGTGGATTTTTTTTTCATTCAAAATAAAAGCATTTTTGCAAGTTGAATTGTTCTTTTTATGGAATAGAAGAACATCAGTAAGAAAACTGGCATTGCTTTGTAGGCACTGAAGTGTAAATAGCTTGTATTTTTTAAAAATCCTATTAAAAATCACTGTTTTAGGAATAAAACTACAATGGCACATTTCTCCTCAAATCAGATCATGGTAATTTCTGAAAGATGAAGTCCATAAACACATAGATATTTTCACCACTATTTTATACCATTCTTTCATGATCAAAAGGGAGTTAACCTTTTCTGATTCACTACTCTCACCCCCCCCATGAAAGAATATCTAAACACAATCTCCTTAGAACTAACCACAGAAATTTATATATGCCTCACGTGTGGTATATGTCATTACCTTGTCTGTACTATCATTATTTTCAAAACCTCCCTTGTTAGAGTCTAAGCTACTGGATAGTGCTTATTACAGTGTGTACCATTCTTTCATGATCAAAAGGGAGTTAACCTTTTCTGATTCACTACTCTCACCCCCCCCATGAAAGAATATCTAAACACAATCTCCTTAGAACTAACCACAGAAATTTATATATGCCTCACGTGTGGTATATGTCATTACCTTGTCTGTACTATCATTATTTTCAAAACCTCCCTTGTTAGAGTCTAAGCTACTGGATAGTGCTTATTACAGTGTGTGTATGTTGTAGGTTCTCTGAACATGACAATTAGCCCCATCCCCCTATAACTTTTTAGTAAGGGTGGGATCGTCCTTGTTCCTGCTAGCATTTCTGATCATTCTCTGTTGCTGTCTGTGTAAGCTGTGATTGATTTCAACAGCTGTAGTTCATATTGACATTCATATCCTTATGTATGTCTCTAATTATTTTTTTCTTTTCCTATAAAATACAATGCTAATTGGTAGTTGCCTCCAGGCACAAGTGTCAGAAAAAAATCAAATCTATAATTAAGTTCCCCCTAGAAATTCCTCGAAACCAGCTTGCATCCCATGACTTTTTGCTGTCAATTTTCATTACTAACTACATATTTCATTAAAATGATTACATTGTTTGATGGGATCCATATTGGAAGTACAATTTATCATGGCTCCTCATAATAATTTGTACTTAACTTTATCCATTGCCTTTTGCCGGTAGGTCCCCCAGGCCCACCTGGGATAGTGATCGTTGAGGAAATCACTGAAAGCACAGCCACACTCTCCTGGAGTCCAGCAGCCGACAACCACAGCCCAATCTCCTCCTACAACCTGCAGGCTCGTAGCCCCTTCTCCCTGGGCTGGCAAACAGTAAAAACAGGTAAGAGGCACAAAGGCCACATCAGACACTACCAGAGCAGCTTCCTACCTTACAAGCTATATTTGCTTATGATCTCACAAGGATTCTGGAAACTGTTACTTACTACAATGTTGACCACTAGTTGCTTCTTTTTATGAACTGAAGAAGAGCAAGGAACCTTGTTTTCCTCTCTTCTCAATTCTCCAAGAAGGACCACAGGGTGGGTTGCAAAAATAGTACAAAGAGTTCCTGCTTCCTCCAATGATAACATTGTACATATCGACCATACAATTACCAAATTAGCAAACTGTTATTGGCACAACGCTATTAACTAAACTTCAGGCTGTATTAGGGTTTTACCAGTTTTGACATGCAATTTTTTAGTGTAGAGTTCTGTGAAATTTTATTATATATATTCAAGTAACCACCAAGACATTCAAGATACAGAACTTGTGCTACCTCATTATAGTCACACATCTGTTTTATCTACAAAAAGAAAATATAACATAAAATTATGTTATTTAAACAATTTAATTAAAGCATTTTGATGCCTGCTTCTAAGATGTTTGTATAATAGTTGCATTATTTTAAAATTATTTCTGTCCCTAATGATTTTCCTTTCATATTATAACTAAATAAACTTCTCCTATCTCTCCAAATGTAAAATCACATTCACTTGATATTTATTAGATACTTATTTAACATATTGGTACTTGAAAAGTGTACAATGTCTATAAAATGGAATCTTCAGAAGCAGTTGTCCATACTGAGTAGGGATTTGTGCTTTTTATTTTTAAATTGATATACCTGTTTAAAAGTGAAATATAAAAATCAGAAAAATATATGTAACCATAAAACTAAACCAGAATATTATGGGAGTGGAGTGGTCCACTTTGTTGCTTAGGTAAATGAAATTTAAGCAGAAACATCTTTGTATATAAGTTTACAATTGTGGAGAGAGGAAAAATTTTCATCTGCATACAGAATATAATTTAGGGTTTTCCTTGATATTTAGGCTTCTGCATTAACTTAGACCTCAGTTTTATTATCTTCATAGTGCACATAGACATATTAATTATGCATAAAAATGTATTTGTTTTGTAATATAATTGGTATTAGCCTCATTTCTGGCTTCAATATAACCCCGTGATACATCTGCAGACCCAAGAAATTGGGAGAGTCTCTGAGCATGGTAGATAATTGAGGAATTACACAAATTTAAAGCAAACAAACAAATTTACTCAAGAATTTTCATAACCTCCACCCCAATGCTCTCATCCTTAGTGCAATAGCTCAGACCTTTTGATCTGCAGCCAGGAAATGGATTGCCTTCAGATCTGGTGCTGTGCACTCACCTAACCCATCCTCCTGCCTGCAGCCATGCTCCCTGCCCACTCTTGCTGCAATACATGTACAATTTACTTATTGGGAAGTTTTCCTTGTGAGTACATTGCAATACATATGTATGTTTCCTTACTCATCCCATGCCCATGGCAATCTGAGACACCTTATCTTCCACCTATTACATCCATGCTTTCCTAGTTACACTCACTCTCTGATTCTCTCATTCCTACCTTGAGTTTTCTTTCTTGGTTCACCTGTTTCTATTTTGTGCTTCTGGGTTCATGTGTGTGTGTGAGTATGTCTGTTTATGTATGTGGAGAGGGCTTAGGCATTTGGACTAAATGTTATTTTTGAGGGTTTGTTTATTTATTTGTTCTATAGTTCTTTACTATAAACTTGCAAATCTATGTTTCTTATATAATTTGAATGCTGGAAGCATTTTTAAGTTGAGAGTTCTTTTTTAATTCAGTCCAGCAAGTACTTATTTTCAGAACCTATGGTTGTGCTGTATTTATAAGGAAATATTTTTTTCCAGAAGTAGATTTCTATAAACTATCAGTTTTATCCACCCATCTTAGTGCTCTTGCAAGATATCTCTTCACCTAACTCATTTCTTCCAAACCCAGCATTAATTACAGCCATTGGCAGAGGTATGTCATCCTCAGTGTCAGCTGCTGAGGAGCAGTCCTCAAGTTTTGCATGCTCCAAAATAGCTGTTGTAAATTCTTCCTGGTTTTAGCCCTAGGCCCAATCTGACCACAGCTTCTTTTATGTCTGCCTGCCTGTGATGGAGAAAGAAGTCCCTCTGAATTCACACCAGCTTCACGGGGGCAGTGTGCCTTTTGATTTCATACCTACTCCCTCAATCTAAATCAATTTCGGTCAAATCCAGGAATATCTATTAGAAAAAAAGATAGGTCAGAAATCTCTGATAAAGTTAATGCAATTTATGATCTAGTATTTGAAAAGCACTTAAAATTTCTTTATACACCAAAATGAATATAAAGAATAGCCATTTCCTCATTTTTGGCAATTGAAGTAATAAGTTGCACAGGGACCTTCTAGCCGAGCACAATCTTAAAATTAACTTATGAATACTGCGCCCTACAAATGAGATTCAAATGTGAATGTAAATAATGTTTTCATTTGGAAAAGATACATAAAATAACCATAACAGATACATAATTTCATTTGTAGACCCCTTTTCTGTGCAAACAAATTGCTTTTGATTTGGAAACCTGATTTTCTTCTTCATGCTACTGAGCAGTGTTAGCTGTCCTAGTTTTTGACTGTGTCTACTTATGAATATCAGATCACCTATAATCATAGATGTGATTGGACTTTGTTTACTTAACTCAGATATGTTTCTTAAATATTCTTCTATCAGTGGATATGCCTTCTATCTGCAATATGTTTTTCATGGATTGATTGGTTGATTAAATTTGTCAGTTCAGCAGGCTTACTTTATTAATTTAATTCTTGGATGCAATTCTTTTACTAGAACAGGCATTTCAACAAGATTCTTTTCCTGAGTCAGTATGAGGTCCACTGTCCTTAGTCACCATCATGTTCTCTCTTAAGCATAGTGTTTTCCTTGAAACCAAGTTGTCCCCATAGTTCCAGAAAGCATATCTTTATAAAAAGATGCCTGCAAGGCTTTTAAAAGTACTTACTTTGGTATAAACCCTCCATTGCCCTTAATTTCCACAATACTGCATTTAAATCAAAATTGTGATTTTATTAAAGAGTTTATTTCTAATCTATTTCATATTGCATGTTATTTCATCAAAAATATTAATGCATTTGACATTTGCTTTTACAATTATTTTGTATCCCTTAGAAGTAACTATAATTTAGAACTTCAAAATCTGGGTTTTTTGTTTGTTTTTCATTTTAAAGACAGGTTAGAATTAAGGATGGTGGAAAGGACATGGGCTTCAGGAGGGTGTCTTTACAACTTATAGTTATGACCAAGATGATATAAATATATGAAATATATGTAGCTTTGGAAGGAAGGATATGTTTTTTCTTTTTAACATAAAGCCCATAATAATCACATAAAAGTTCAAACAGAAAATAACTTTGCTAATTTTGATTACACCAGGCAATTTAAACTCTACTGTCATTCATTCAATAAAAAATTATTAAGCACCTTCCAGGTACTTTTCTAGGCACTTGGGATATACCAATGAACAACAACAACAAAAAAAAAATCCACACCCTCGTGAAGATTCTATTTTCATGGGTGAAAACAAACAATAAACAGAGAATAAAATAAGCAAGTAAATTATATAGTATCTTAAAAGTTGATGAATGCTATGGGGGAAAAAAGAAATCATGTGGAGTAAGGGGGATCAGAAGTACTGTGGAAGGGGCAGTGTATTAGTCAGCCTGGATTGTCATAGCAAAATACCATAGACACCATAGGCTGGGTGGCTTAAACAACAAGAATGCATTTTCTCACAGATCTGGAGATTAGGAATTCCAAGATCATCATGGTGGCCAATTCAGTTCCTGGTGAGGGCTTTTCTCCTGGCTTGCAGGTGTTCTCCTTTTCACTGTTTTCACATAGCAGAGAGAGGGAGAGACAGCAAGCTCTGGCATCTTTTCTTATAGGTACATTACAGTCAGAGCCCCACTCTATGTCTTCATTTAACTTTAATTACTTCCTTAGGGGCACCATCTCCAAATACAGCCACATTGAGGGTTAAGGATTTAACATGTAAATTTCAGGAGGACACAATTCAGTCCATACCATGGAAGTTGCAATTTGAAATAGAGTCACAGAGTATGCCTCATTGAGAAAGGTCATTTGAGTAAAAATGTGTGGATTTAGCTATGCCAATATCTAGAGGGCAGTAGCCCAGATAGACAGTGCAATTAGTGCAAAAATATTAGACACATTATATAAGAGAGATTTAGAAGACCAGTGGGGAAGAAGCAGAATGAGTTTTAGAGAGAATGTTAGAAGGAGAGTTTGTAGAGATATTGGCAGAACCAGTATCATGTAGTATTTGGATTTTTATCCTGAGAGAAATTTAGAGATGTTGGGGGACTGATATTCTAAGTCTAATTTTTTAATGCATTCATTCAAGCTATGTTGAAAATAGACCATGGGAAGGATAAGTGAAGAGTCACTATACTAGTTAGAAAGCTATTGCAGTTAAGAGATGATGGTGCTTCAGAGTGACAGAAGTAGGGGTCCTAAAAATGGTCAGAATTTGGAAATATTTGCAAGATAGAGTTCAAGGGATTGCCTGACAAAGTGAATGTAAAGAGTGTAAGAGAAAAAGAATTCAAAGATAACTACAAGATTTTTGACCTGATCAACTCAAGGATGAAGTTGCCATCAACTGACATAAAGAATCCTGTACAATTGGAACAGATTGGGTGGGAATGAGGTAAGGAGTTCAGTTTGGGACATATGAAGCTTGATACATCTATTAGACATCAAAGTGGGGGGGGGAAGGTTAGTAGGCCTTTGGATATATGTGTCTGAGTTTAAGAGAGAGGTTTAGGATGAACTTTTAAACTAGGAAATTATTGGCAAATAAATTGTATTTAAAACTGTGAGACTGCATGTCAACCCCAAGAAAGTAAGTATAATTAATGAAGAAGAGGGTATAAAAATTGAACCATGGAGTGTTCCAATAGTAAGAAGTGGTAGTGAAGAGGAACCATCCAAAAGAGACAAAGAGGAAGTAATCACTCAGGTAAAAGAAAAATCAAAATAATGCAACGTCCTGGAAGACAGAAGAATAAAGTCCATCAAGGAAAAGAGTAACAGACTATGTCAAACGATACTGACATGTCAAATAAAATGAGGACTAAGAATTGATCATTAGTTTTAGCAATATGGAGGTCATTGGTGACCTTGACAATAACAGTTTTCAAGGAATGGTAGGCACCAAAGTCTGACAAGAATGGGTTCAAGAGAGAATAGGAGAAAAATTAATATAGACAACTCTTTTAAGAAATTTTGCTGCAAAGGAAAGAGGAGAAATCATATTTTAAACATATTTTAAAGTCATAGATGCTGTAATTTACTAATAGATGGGAGTGGGACAGGGGAGAAAGAAAGGAGTCCAGGATGACCCCAAGATTTTTGTCGACATCTGTGAGAATGCAGTTGTCACTCCCTAAGTAAGAATATTACAAAACCCTATTCAAACAGAAATGTCTAATAAGCCATTGAACATATACGTCTGGAGTATAGGAAGAAGATCATGGCTGATAACATTGGAGTCAACAGCATATAGAGGGTATTTAAAACTGTAAGACTGGATAAGATTACCATGGAGTAAAAAAAAAAAAAATGGGAACGAGTTAGTAGAATCGGGTTGCATATGGAAGATGGAAAAAAAAAAAAAAAAAAACAACAGAGACTGATAAGGCAAGGTCAGGTAGGAGAATAACAGAAGTCAAGTTTTGAAAAGGGTTTCAGAGGGAAGAAAGTGATTGCCTGTGTCAAAGGATGATGATTGGTCAAGTAAGATGAGGAAGAGAGACTTGACCATGAGGATTTAGTAATGGAAGTCATTGATAATCTTGACAGGAGTGGTTATGGTGGAAAGCTGGAGGTAAAAGCCCAATTAGAGTAGGTTCAAGAGAGAGTGGAAGTGGAATAATTGGAAACAGCAAGTAATAGCACAAACGGCTCTCCAGAAGTTCCGCTATAAGAGAAACTGAGTGAAGGCTAGAAGAAGAGGAAAGGTTAAGAGAGATGTGTGCCTGTTTTTCACAGGGAACCACATCCATGTGAGTATGCCAATGGGAAGGATCCTTAGAGAAATCCATGGGGAAGAAAATGAAAGGGCTGGTCCTTCTCCACAATAGCTTAAGAGGGCCAACCCTTGAGAGAGATAAAATTTCCTCAGTTTCTGTTAGACTAAAAAGTTGGAGGAATGTTCATAGAGGAGATTGATTATATAGGGGAATTTGCTAAAAATGGATCAGGAATTCCAAACATCACAGTGGAAGGTTTTCAAGAATTAGGAAGGGATACAAGCTGGGCAGAAGGGAAATATGTGCAAAAGATTAGAATAAAAGGAATGAAAATTGCCCAGATGTCTGGAGTTGCTTGAGAAGACTGGCAAATAGAAGTAAATGCAACTGTGAGGAAAGTCCTGGTGGACCCAAGGCAAGGATCGCTGGTACAGTGTAGGCTGGGAGCTAAGAGGACTGAGTGTCTGGGAATCTCTTCTTCCCACCTTTATGTCTGGCAGGCATAGCTCAGCATTTCACCAAGCTGTGGACTGAGCAGAGGCCTTTTGTCCCCTACCTCTTAGACTCCAAGGATATTTCTCAGTTGCTAGTGCAGTAAAAGGGCACAGATTTTTTCCAGGTCTTTATGCCACCACTTAAAAATGTCAGCTCTGCTAATGTGATAACATTCTTTTATTGCATTTCAGAAGAGATCTTCATGGGAAATCCAAAATGATTTAATCCCACCTTGCCACAGTAAAACTGAACTGAGTCATTAAATAGAAAAACCCACCACCCGTGCTTGTCCCACCCCCATGCTTACATAGAAATCCATGACAGAGAAAAATCCAGATTTTTGCACACCATAAAACAGATTCTCCACATTCCTCCTTTTCACTCCTGTAACAAATGTTCTAGAACTATTTCCTAGACACCAGAGATGAGTCAACAAGAAAAGCAGTCCCAAATAGAACATATATGCTAGGTAAAAAACATTTTACTATGTGGTCGTTGTATTGACAAACAATTTTATGCTTTGATCAAAAATCTAAATATCATACAAAAGTCACTCCAAGTAGAGTTCAGAGCTTCCACTTAGATGCTAAAAAATGTACTTTTCCAATTAGAAAGATGTATTCTTAATTTGCTGCTTGGAACTGCCAAATGACTAAATATGTTTGCCAGAACTGGGGGGAGAGGCAAACTGCTCAAAAAGTTTCCCTAAAAATTGAAAAATAAAACCTCTTTGTTTAAATTACAGTACCACTTGGTCTCTTATCTGAGGCTGAGGCGTTGAAATGATTTTTAGTGTAGAAAATGGCAAATTATATGTAAAGATGAGATAAAAGAATTTTAATTAACTCCAACAAACTCTGATATATACAAGTGCTTACTTCCTAAGATGTTCATTTTACTGAAGACACTGGAGGTGATGCCATGACCATGTGTTATGAGGACATGTGCATGATTTTGCTGATTCCTGTCAGTAGCTGTGATATCCTTGACTGTCACTTGTAGCATTTTTCCAGTCCTAATAATACCTAAAATCTCCTTTCTCTCTACAGTCCCAGAAATCATAACAGGAGACATGGAGTCGGCCATGGCAGTAGACCTAAATCCCTGGGTGGAATATGAATTTCGAGTGGTGGCCACCAATCCAATTGGGACTGGAGATCCAAGCACCCCATCTCGAATGATCCGCACAAATGAAGCAGGTAAGAATTTGGAGAATCAGAATTCTGTTTGCTATGCCTCTAATCACTTCCAAAGCAAGTCAAATTAACCATGATTGCTTTATTGCTTGCCTTAGTATAATTTGTCCTGATTCATTTACCTAGACATCATAAAAATCATTTTCATTAAAATAATTATTTTATTTTATTTGTTTTCAGAACTTTCTCTCCTGTTTTCCACAAATACAGGCTTTTAGGTGCTTTAGTTTTCTCCAACCCTTGCATCCATCTTTAAGTCACCATGAAATTGAAACTGTTAATTTATTCTTCTAATTATATATTCATTTAATATAGCATATCCATAAAATTCAGAATAGATCATCTCACCTTCTTTTCTCCAGCAGTAACACTTTTCTTTAATTACAGTTGCCCTTCAGCATCTAACCTGTATAAATTACACTTTGCAAAAACAGAGCACTTCTTGCCCTACTATCTTCTTCAAGTCTACATATAAAAGAAATACCCATCTGCTTTCTGATTTAGAAATCATAGCATTCGTCTGGTATTTTAGAAAAAGTGCCTCTGATAAAATGTTTCGAATGACCAGATAAGAGAAATTAACAGCTTTATTTAAAACCTTTTTTTAATTTTTCATTTTTATTATTAGCATATTCATTATTACAAATAAGCCCTTTACCTGACCTGTCACTCCCGAAACCCCCTCCCTCCCATCCCCCCATCTCTAGTATCCTTGGTTTGTTCTCTCCTTCTTATCCTTGGTTTGTTTTCTCCTTCTGAAAGTTCCATGTATTGTTGTGGTCTTTTCTTTCTTTCATACTTTCTTTCTTTCTTCTGTCTGTCTTTCTTCCTTTTTTTTCATTAGCACCAAGTTATGAGTGAGAACATGCAGTATTTCTCTTTCCAGGCTTATTTCACTTAACATAATTATCTCCAGACTCATCCATGTTGCTGCAAATGGCAGAATTTCATTCTTTTTTACGGCTTAGTAGTATTCCATTGTGTATACATACCACATGTTCCTTATCCAGTCATCCTTCAATGGACACTTAGGTTGGTTCCATATTTTGGCTATTGTAAATACAGCTGTGATGAACATGGGAGTGCGGGTATCCCTTTGACATGATGATTTCTATTCCTTTGGGTATATACTCAGTAGTGGGAGTGCTGGATCATATGGTAGTTCTATCTGTAGTTGTAAAAACAAAATTTAAGTTATCTTGCCTATCACCCAGAAGAAGCAGAAAGATTAAAGAAATAAAGGATTAAAAAAATGTATTAGAATTTTTATTAATTTGGACAAATTTATATTGAGATCTATCTTTTATGTCCCTCAAATATTGTGTATTAAGAAAGACCTAGTAAAGCACTTATGGGCCAAGCCCGTGGCGCACTCGGGAGGGTGCGGCGCTGAGAGTGCGGCCGCAGCAGCGCTCCCGCCGCGGGTTCGGATCCTATGTAGGGATGACCAGTGCACTCACAGCACTCACTGGCTGAGCGCGGTGCGGCTGGTCTCAAAAAGGACAAAAATAAAATAAAATAAAATAAAATAAAAAGTAAAGCACTTACTTAGAGGGACACAAACATCAATAAAGTT